AATTTTGTGTAGAGTTTAAGGGCCAATCACTGAGAGTTGTGTTTACTATTGGTAGAAAAAATGGTCAAAAACAACTATTGAAAGTTTCAGCAGATGCACCATTGTCTGGCTTTACCCTCTTTCCTCCCCCTTTCCTTTCCTTCTTTTGTAATCATGTGTATAAATTCGCAAATCTGTTTGTATGTGCATGCATGTGTGCTTACAAACATTAGGGTATCAAGTGTACTCGTACTCGACATGTACTTTCCCATTTTTTATGGGAAAGTTTCATCAAGTATATTTTTGGTCTGAGTCTGTTGCAGTTTACAACTTTAATCATTTTATTAAATTTGTTTACATTTCCAGAATCTTATTTTCTTTCTATATTGTTGTGTGTGGAATGATGAGGAAAAGAGAACAAAAAAGTTTGTTTTATGCATTTAAAATTAAATTTATGATCAAATAAAGTGGAAAAAAAAACTCATATTTCCTCAAACAGCTAAGTACCTACTGGCTTTTTAAAAAACCTGACTTGTTTTAAATACACTGTGTATCACATAACTGTCTTGAAGCGTGGGTGATATTATTGGATAATAACCTCTGTCTTGAGGACTGCACATCTGTCATTGCTAATTCAGCAGTTGAGAAATATGTGCCTTACGTCTGTTGGTGCAATGGGACAACATGAAGTGGCATGTGGTTAACTTGAATTTCCATATAACGTTTTGCTCATCCATACGGAGCGTATTTAGACTTTGATCATCCATATATCATCCTGTTTTCAGGAAGCAAATTTAGTATGCTTTACTGTGTAAAGGGAATCCTTCTTTCTGAAAGAAGTGATTAGCTGAAGTGATCACTGGGGAGATTTAAAAGTGTACTGTGACCAGGTAGGCGATATCTAATTAACTAATATGACAGCCAGTTCAGTCCAGATGAAGAGCTCTGGTGTCACAGGTCGTGTTTATGACCTAAGGTAAGGGTGGTGTGGATCTGACCCTAGAGTCAAGTTCCAGCATGGACCTTCCCTGTTGACCCCAACTGAAGGAAGAAAAAAGACTAAATAAAGCTGTAGTAATATTATGAATTTCATTGTGTTATTTTCTCATATATATATTGTATTTTATTAATGCATTTAAACAAAAATGTTTAGGAGAGTATGTTTTTGCTTTCCTCCATAGTTTATTTGCATTTTCCCAACTACAGTACTACACTGCTCATGTGCAATTAGCTTGTTGTTGATCCATTTGGGGATGTTACACTTTCATGTAATCCTATGGAAATTTGTTTGTTCATCACTTTTTAATGTATTTGCTATTGCACAGGGTATTGTTTGCAGTGAGATTGATGGATGGATGGATGGATGGATGGATGGATGGATGGATGGATGGATGGATGGATGGATGGATGGATGGATGGATGGATGGATAGATAGATAGATAGATAGATAGATAGATAGATAGATAGATAGATAGATAGATAGATAGATAGATAGATAGATAGATAGATAGGGGAAATTTCACAGGAGGAACTTGATACAAAAAAAGCAACTTCAAGAGATTGTCCTAAAGCTGTTTCTCTTGGGAAATTTTTAGTAAATCAGTTAAATTAGAGTTAAATATGTGTTTCTTGGTTGTCATGTTGTTGCCTATGTAACACTTTCAGTTCTGTCAAATCTCAGTCCCAACTCGCACTCAGGGACTTTGTTTTTTTCCCCCCCAAACAGGGAAATAAATGTCAAATGAAAAGTCTGGTTCTCCTCTTATGAGCAGTGTGTTCATTTATCTCCTGGGAGACAGAAACAAAGAACTATGTCTCAATATTCACCACCCTTTATTCTTTTTAGCTGTCACCCCATTTAACTTGTTAAGAGAGCGCTGATGGTTAAATGTTAGACAAGAGTCCCAGCTTTTTGACAGCTCTGTGGTGGCTGTAACTGCCTGTACTTGTCTCTCAGTGTGGCCTTGCTGCCCCTAAGCTTCCTGCGGATTGAAGGAACACACACTGTGCTAAGTGTGTATGCATTTATAGTGGTTTTCTCTTTATTCTATGCTATTTTAAAAGTTTCGATTATGCAATTTTGCAGTCAGAATCTATGACAAATAAAGAGATGAAATGAGTTCACATGACTTAAAATCTTGGCACCAATTATGTGTCATCTAGATTGACTGCCAATGCGTGGCAGATGCTTTTTTACAGAGGGTGAATAAGTCAGTTTCTCTGTCTATAAAACTGTTTAATAAAAGTCAGAGTTTATACATGTGCCTGCTCAAGATTTATGGACAATGTGAAATATGGAAACAATCAGAACTCAACACAGTGATTCATTTTTAATAAAAACATCTTCCCACTGAGGCACACGTGATTGAATTTCATCTTTATTCTTACGAGTGGAAAAAGGCATCGATTTGCACATTAAACACATTAACACTATAGTCCATCCTTCTCTGCCAACCAATTGCGACAATATGATCAGTTTCAGTAAAACCATGCATTCCCATGGCAGGCATACAGAAATCCATGCAGTTTGTGGGCAGCAACAGTCATGGTGGCAAAACATCCAAAAGCCACATTGCTGCACTGTGATGGTGGTACTGAAGATCTCCATAATTTCAATTCCTTGATCTATGCCCATCTGTGTATCTGGTGGCTTGCCTGCAGAGACTGTCTGTCATTTGTTCCGGCATGTCCCCTTAAAGTCTCTGTTACTCTCTGGGAACGTGGACCACAGGAACTCCTGGGGGGATTGAAGTCCTTAATGCTGTTGTGAGTACATTTAGATCGTTGGGGGTCAAAGAGAGCAAAATAGACAGGAAGAGTTGCATAGACAGAAACAGACACAGAAACATAGAAAATACTAAGCGGTAGAGAAAGGGGGTGGGCACAGGGGAGGTAGAAGAGGAATTTGAGTGAAAACACGTTTTTAGTATGAGCCTGAAATCCTTCTGAAGAAACAATAATTGGAAAAATATGAAGGGGAAATGGTGGATTTAACAATGAGAGCCTTTTTGTTCCTGTGTCACAAATGCAACTCTTTCAATCCCCCGAAGCTGGCATTTTTTTTCTTTTAAGAGTTGAATGCTAGTATTGTAGTGAAGAATAACTCACATTTTAGCTGAGTGCTCCAGTGTTGGTACAGTAATCCTGTTCTTTTGTTACATCACAAGATAAAATTGGCTGTGAAAAAATAAATCAATAAAAAGGTGTCAGTTATTGATGTGATGTTTTTAGGGTCATGTTTGAAGAATAAAGGTCACTAGCAAACTGTACATTTTTCTATAATTATTATAATGGCCTTTTCAAATACCAATTGATAGTTCCCTGACAGGAACAAAAACCTGTAGCACAGAGCTCACCTCCCCTGCGTAAGACCATGTTGTAAAATACAGTCACGCTTTCTTTTAAGAAGGCTCCTTCAATGACGTCCCCACATTTTTTGTTAGTATTTCACTCACAATGTCAAGGCTAGCTGATATTAACTTAAACCACTGTTCTTTCATGTTGTTATACTGGATGTCCGATTAGGTTGGAAGACTTCTTGTTTACAAAATGCACAATACTTTAGAGGAACAGCTGTTATTATCTCTACAGTTTATATTCTTTTTCGTATGTTTTTGTTCAGCAGTTATGATTTACTCACTCAGTTTGATTGAAACTCACTGTAAGTGTTAGTTATTATGCCACTCTATAAAAACATGTCATGACCTCTCTGTCTTCACTTACCTCACTCTCCCCTTCGCTTATTTTTCACAAGACACTATGAATTATTTTTGCCAAAATTATCTGCAGTAGCGGTTCCAGCAGTGTCACTTTTTTGTTTTGTTTTGTTCTTCATATCAAACAGTTTGACCAGCCTTATGCTTGACATCTGACACGCTGTGTCATTCAGCGCCAGCCTCTCTTCCCACAAAACCCATTCCTATTACAGCTGTAACACTGGCTTACAAACCAGGGGTCATTAAATGTGCAACCAAAGAGACACTTATGAGGTTGTAAAGCCACCTCGTTGTATTTGTCCTAATGGCTTCCAAATGGCCACAGTTTATCTGACTATGATTTTCAAATTAGTTTATTGAAAGTAAAGAGAGGCTTGGGCCTGTTGATCATGATGCTCTTTGTCTACATCTGTAACATGCTCATTCATCTGCCCAAGGAAAGAAAGAGCTCCAACCACAAATGAAAGGAGCGATAAAGTGAAAACTCTGGTTATAATTAGTTTTGTTATCACATTCAAACTTGTTTTGAATTAATGACACCCATTTTTTTATTATATAGTGGGATTATAAAGAATATTTATGGGTGTTTTTCTTACCAATTTATCTTTGTTTATTCATTTCATACTTATTGTCACATTACATCCCCTTCCAATGATCTGCAGACATGAGAAAGAAGGAATAAAAACAGTGCCTTCTGGTGAGAAATTTTAATGAAAGTATGGGTGTTGCAGTTGAACTCAAAACACATCTCAGACTCATGTTTGTCCTTCCAGAATCAGTATCAAGTCATTTATCATAAACATATAAACTAAAAATGTATTTAAAAACAACAGACAGTGTGGAGTTACTCATCACAGGTAGAACAAAGAAGTAGAATTTCTCACCAAACCTATAAGGTCTCTTACTCAGAGGGCTAATTAAACACTTATATTGGCAAATAGGTTTTTAGTAGACATGATACAAAATCCTGCTTCTGATTACATTAATTGACCTGAAAGAATTCCTGAACATTAACACAAACAGTCTCTTAAAGACCCAAGTCACACAAACCTTTTTCCCGTTCTTGGTGAAATGCACACATTTGGGCACACACAGGTGACCTCCCTGTGTTTCCACTGTGCAGTGCAGTATGTCAGATATGAGACTACAGGTGACAGGGTTAAACCTGCAGCTCCTGTCCTGGCTCCTCCTCTCTTGTATCCTTGAGGCAGAAAGGGCGGCTCAGCGCCGACTTATCCCGTGCCAAAGATTCGCACCGGCAATTTCAGCTGTCAGCGTGCTCATGAATCAACTAGCTAAGGCATAATTTCTCTAGAAGATTTATTGGAAACACACATGCCAAATTTTCATACTAAAGTAAATGGAAGAGTGCCGGAGGGGCTTCAGGTCCTAGCTGTAGAATTTGTGGGAAAATGAAGACGGGTAGAAAATAGGCTATGAGGCTACAGAAATGATTGAAAAGTGTAAATGTGTTGCAATGTTGCTCTAATTCATATTCTTTATTAATAAGGAGAAAGGTGAAATACCACTGAAATACAGCTGATCTCATTATGATTCAAGGCAAGATGTTGTGATTAGTATTGTGTTAACTCGTAATCGCTATGATTCCAAAAGTATATTTTAGACAATTCAGCTTCTTTGGGTTTTTGCCTCACAGAATCCAAAATAAATTAAGTGCATGCATGCAATGCCCGGTGCCCCCAAACAGACCAAAATCTTTAGATTAGGAGGAAGAGCACGTAACACCATCAAACTTTTTTGATGTCTTTTGTTACATTTTTACATCACTTTCTCAAATGTTCCCACCCACATGGGCTGAAGCCAGTATTTCCTTTTAGCTGTACTTCTCTAACCTTCAGGCTACATCCACCATGACTCTAGATTGTTTCATTGTTATTGCCAGCTGGCTGTTGTGATGAAAAGTGATGCGCAGTCAAAATCTGATCTCCTTTTCACAGCCATAATTAGAGGAGGATGATTCACTGGATCTTTTCAAGAGAAACTAAAAATAACGTCAACATATTTCAGAGCAAATGTACGCCATAACATGAGAGAACCTGAGAAAACACTGGCACACTAGCACAGCCTCTAATACAGCGAGCCGCAGCATAAATCATAACTGTGCACCTCTTGCACAGAAATTGGAGTGGCAGCCAATCAACCTCAAACTAGTCAGAACAGCTCCTGATCGCACCCAAAAGAAGGCCGTGTGTTAATGAGTTGCATTCTCTTTCACTTGTCAAATGTCCAAGTGCCCTGAAAAAATCTTAATGATCTGATTGTGCCACCTCTCAAAGTACTCTCCTGCTCTCACACGTCTAATTAATCCATACTTCTAACATCTTACCTGTATTTCACTTGAATAATTAATTGCTGTCAGTGTAATAAACCCCAGTTGCACTCTTTGTAATGAAATGGGCTTGAATTGTTTCAAGCTGATTAACACAACATACATGTTAAAATTTTACTTTGCTTTGAGTAGCAAAAGACAACTTTTACTGCAATTTCAATTAGTTTATTAATGTTTTTGATTATTACTACAGCAAAACAAAACACACGGGCAAACAAACACACACACATACACACACAAACAAAACCAGTAACTCCATTAGCCTTTGGCCAATGTACTTAGGAGTATGACATTTAAGAGAGATCTAGAGAGACAGGCCTGTCTGGTCTCTCTTTTTGGCAACACTGGCTTCTCATTGTTTAGCAGGAGGCTATGGAATCTGACCCCTGTGGCTCTTTTGGAGTGAGCTAGACAAATGTTCATCCCTAAAGACTAGAAAGATGCAAATTTGCCAACGCTTCTTGACCCTGATAAACTTTCGGCCTCACACAAATATAGATTAAAAATCAATTACCGTACAATTAAAATAGAAAGTGTGAACCATAATGCTTGAGAGAAGCAAGTTAAAAAAGAAAAATAAAAGATAATGTGGGGTACCATATCAAGGAGGTTTTGGGGTGTAGCATGGCCTTTGTGAATGATTTTATCTAATCATATCCAACAACCAACAACTTCAGCGATCACTTATTAGGTGGTTGGAGAATGCATATTTTTTCCTACAAACTCTCCTGTTTCCAGTCTTTTCCTAATCATAACCAAGCTGGAGCTTATCCCAGCTACCATAGGACCATACACCCTGGACAGGTTGCCACTCTGTCACAGAGAGACAAACAACCATTCACACTCGCATTCACACCTATGGGCATTTTTGAATTACAAATTATCCTAACCCCACTAACTACATGTCTTTGGACAGTGGGAGGAAGCCCATGAGAACCTACTCAAACACAGGGAGAACATGCAAACTCCACACAGAAAGGCCCCGGCCAGGTGGTGGAATCAAACTCGGGATCTTCTTGCTGTAAGACAACAGTGCTAATCACTGCACCACCATGATGCCAAAGAAAGGCTGTGAGCCATATATTAAAATCTTAAAAGTCTTTCTGGTATTATTTTTGTTCAAAAATTAGCAATATAACTTTTTTGTTGTGGTGTTAAATAATTGTATGTTGTTGTCAATGCTTTGGTCTGTTGAAAGCATGTAATGTTTTCAAAGCTGCTGTGTTCAGTCCAATTAAATCGAATTGATGTGAAGACAGTTCGGACAAAAACAACTGCACCAAGACCCTTTGGAGGAGTTGGTGGTTCCAAATGAACTTCAGAGCAGTTTGTTTATGGTGTGAATGTGATCTGACCTCGATCTGAACCAACTACCGAGTGTACATTGAAGGTTTGAGCTAAAAAACTGCCCATAGCCACGTAGTCTACTGTACTGTAGACTAGGAAAGCTAGTTACTGTGTGGGCCAGCAACTAGCTGTGAAAATAACGTAAAAATCTCCATGTTCTCCCATCGTCCAGAACACAGCACTTTGTTCCTGTATTTAATTTTGTTGTTGTCCCCCCCAGACACATCTGGTCAATAAGTGGACTAAATGTTCTCATGCGGTTTGTAGTGACGCATTTTGGTTTGCTTCAGGAGTTTACTTGGATTTTCTCTATGCGAAAAGAAACCAAAAAAAGTGACAAAGTACAAGTGATTCGGACTAAAGTAAATTAACTATAGGTGTGAAAACGCCCTATAAGTAGTTTAACACTGAGAAATAAATCCTGGAAAACATCACACATTTTCAGTACCAGAGGCGTCCACTTTAAGACTTCAGAGGGTATTGTTGTGGTTGCAGTCTGGCAATTGTACTCTTACCTCTGGCATCAACAAAGCATTTTCACCCGGAGAACTAATCCCCACTCAAGATTTCCTCTTTTTCAGGCCATTCTGAGTAAATCCTACAGATGGCTGTGTTTGAAAATTCCAGTATACCAGCGGTTTCTAAAATACTCGGACAAGCCAGTCCCACACCAACAACCATGACAGATTTAAAATCACCTAGATCACCTTTCTTCTCCATTCTGATGCTGTAGTTGAACTTTACAGTGTGTTTTGTTGACCATGTCTATGTGCCTAACTGCACTGAGTTACTGCCATGCTGATTAGATGTTTGTGCTAACAAGCAGTTGACAAGGTGTACATATCAAAGTGGTCAGTTAGCATTGGTTCTATGTTTTGCATATTGGTGTGACAGGCAGTGCTTTGTTGAGTCACAATAGTCTTACTCAGCAGATCTTTGCTATTTCGCATTATTCTTAGTGTTTCACCTGATCACAGAGCGTCACGTTTCATGATTTCTTAAAGACTAATGACTAAACTGATGATTGAACATCTTAAAATGGCATGACTTTGTCTCTCCTTTTTGACATTTCAAGATATTCTACATCAAACATCAGAGACATGACACATGCCAGAGCCTCAACTCAGAATGACATTTCAAACCTGGCCTGCAGTGATTTGTCTGTAGATTCATCATGGTCAATCACATGATGGATCTCTGCACTTCTGAAGCTCACATCAAAGAAGCTGAAAAAAAAAACCAACAAAAAAACGACATTAACATGCCACTATATCAATATCAACTTAGAAACTATAGTTTTAGTTCAAAACATCTCTGTCCTGTAATGTTTAACCCTCAGGTGTGTTGACATTGTGTTGATAAAAATGTTCATCTTTATATAATAATAATATATTAAGATAATTGCGATGGTTGCACTTACAGCCACACAGTGGTAATATCCACCATGTTAGTGTAGAGGCTTATACATAACATTGCATTCACATTTGTCTTTCTTTAAATATAGGAATTAATTTACAGGACAATAAATAACTGGTTTGGTTTAGAATTAATTCATATACTCACATAACACTGCATTCAAAAATAAGTGCACACATTTTAGTTTGCACTGTTATGTATGATTTAATCTTTGTTTTCTGAGTTACCTTTGTTGCAGCTGCTCCAGTCCCTTGATTGAGGAGCCAAGAGGTGGAAAAGGGGCGGAGCGAGCTTTAAAGGAAGACTGCAAATTGGGTCATTCCATAACTCGGGACCATGGGAGGGAATTGGAGTTCATTATGTTAGGTTTAGTTAGGTTCTATGTGTTTTACCCCCTTTTTGTGGGCTGATCAGCCACTATTTAAGTTTCCCTTTTGTCTCGTTAAGGAGGTCAGGGTTTTTTGGGTTTTTTTGAGTTATCAGTATTGTTGTCAATTTTGAATAGAGTTCTGTTATTTTGACCTCTTTTATGAGCCCAAGATTTTGATTCTTTTTGCATGAGTTAACCAATTATGTTTTTATGGGTTAAATAAAAAATCCCTTTTTTTGGACTTTACCTTTGCCTAAGGTTCCTTCAGTGCTCGGTCCATCACAATAATACACTAATATGTAACATTCACTAATGCGATTCTGATTTTTGTGATAGTGTAACGTGCTCTATCATTTTCATGTTGTATATTACTTTTTTTTTTTTTACTTTTCAGAGACATTAGTTAACTTTACTCTGCATGTGCAAGTGTAAGTCTAAATTTCAACCTTTTTTTTCCTTAAAACAACAGCACATGAGAACAGTGAAAAGCAAGCAAAAGCATGGTAAAAAGTGTAACCCAAAAACCATGTCAAGTCAGATCACTTTTATGCTCACCTAATACCCCTGTCGTCCTTCAGCGCACCGAAAATGATGTCACATTGACTGTGAGATTTAGGTGATGCTTTGGCGAGTCATGC